TTTTACAACGTCGTTGCCAAGCGACGAAAACCCAACCCCGATGGCAAACACCGGGGGGGGGATGGGGGGCGGCTTGTTTTACAACGACGTCGCCAAGCGACGAAAACCTAATCCCGATGGCAAACAACGGGTGGGGCGGCTTGTTTTACAACGTCGTTGCCAAGCGACGAAAACCCAACCCCGATGGCAAACATCGGGGGGGGGGGGTCCTGCCTCTTGGTGATAAAAAAAAAAAATGCACATCATCTTGGCAGGTCAGTGACCGCTTTGTTTCCCCTCTCCAATCGCTTTACCTTTCTGTTCTACGGATACGCACTTCAAACAACCATGCACGAGTTTGCGGACATGAGCAGAAGCACCTTCGGCGCACAAACTGTCCCGAGAATCGTTCCTAGGCTCGTGGACGGAATTGGATCCCCCCAAAAGGCCAGGCTAAAAAAAAACATTGCGCCGCAGGCGCCTGATCTGTCGGAGGCTTCCGAATTTCCAAAAGAGGGGTAGTGACACACGGCGACGATCAACCTTGATGCCTACGTAGGTCACGTGCATCGTAACGCCCGGGACCCGTCTTTGTTGCGTGAAGCTCGCAAGAACATATGCACGGAAAGAAACAGCAAAAGCTTCGCAACGCGTGCTGAATCGTCGCCTTGGCGACATTCCTTCCTCCGGCTTCCTGACAACAGTTGGGCAACATCCTAACGCATATTCTCCGCCAAACAGCACTTCCCGAGAATCGTGCGGTCCGACGATACACAGTGTACTCTCACAGCATATTCGGTGTACATATGAAGGGGAAGTTTCGAAGGGTACAAATGTAGCTGCCACGCACCTTGGGCGGGCGTCCTCCGCTGGTGTTCCACGGCTTGGTGAGGTCGAACGATTGCATCACGGCCTTGGATGTCTCGAGCAAGAACGTCTGCACAGCCGCCATCACGGCCGACCCCGCCGTTATCAGTCCTGCAACGCCCGTTGTTGTCCATGGTTAGGGATTAAGGGAGCATGCCAAAGACAGACAGACAGACAGACAGAGAGAGAGAGGGAGAGAGAGAGAGGGAGAGAGAGAG